TTGAGATTTGCAAGGAATGCAGGAAGTCCAAAGCATACTACTATACTGCAGAGCAGATGCTATCTTTCCTCCTTCACCCCGCATGTCTCAGGATTACAGTCAGGAACTACTGTATTTCTCAACAAACTGGGAATGCTGTAATGTATTTCTTGAGGTACTCTTGCTAGGAATGCAGTGCCTATATGTATCTCAAGATAACTGTAAAAGAAAAATTATTTGGAGGCACTCTCATTATTTTATTAGGACTACATTTTTGTAGAGTTGTGGTTTAAAATGTTAGGTATAAGTGAGGTTAGGTTTTGGCTTTATGAATACTTTTGATCTCTTTATTGATGTAAACATACCTGTGATTCCATGTTTCTGTGCCATTCCTTATTATAATAATAATAATAATAATATGTTGCATAATTTAATCCTAGTTATTGTACTGGAATGTATGTTTCAATGTTAAGCAAAATATTTGTCACATGTGTATTCCAACAAATGTTTGTGCATATGTATATATTTGTAACATACTTATTAACTATACACAGAGAAAGGTAAAAGATGTTTTTGCTGTTTACTGTGCACCTATAGTGACTGTGAAACAATTTTAGAAGTTATTCTGAATGACTCTGGCAAGTGACATGCTTGTTGAACCACGTCACCCCAAGGATGGTACATGCAACATAATGGTCTCAGAAAGTATAAAAAACTGTATCTGCAGTAACTAGATGCATAAATGGAATGAAACGCATTGCAGGAACTAAATGGGGTTGTGATCGCTCTACCCTAAACACAACATACAAATAGTACGTCCTTCCCAAAATGTTATATTGCTGGGAGTCACTGATAACAGCTACAGGGAAAACGCTGAGTGAATTAGACCAAGCGCAAAACCAGGCATTACGATTCATTACAGGAGGAGTCAAAACAACTCCAATCGATGCCATGCTCCTCCTAACAGGATTAAAACCTATTCCCAAAGTGATTGAGGAAAGATCATTAACTTTATATGAAAAATTACTCAGAAAGCCAGGGGATCACTTCTGGAAATCTTATTATAATAATGACAGAAGATTAAAAACACAGCATGGATTTATACAGAAAGTCCTAGAATTTAAGTTAAAATATCAAATAATTAATACACCAGAACCATTACTCCAGCAACAGAATCCAATGCTTATGAACTCCATTAAATGCTCTCTAGACCTGGAAGAAATTGTTCTTAAAAAGGAAACAAACACAGACAAATAAAGAACCTTAGCTCTAGAAACAATCCACCACAAATATCCAGAAGAAGATTGGCTCAATGTATGCACAGACGGATCTAAGATGGGAGACCACATAAATGTTGGTGCAGGAGTATATAGCAACATCTTTGCATTCTATATTCCAGTGGGAACATACATGATGGGGAAATTGAAGCCATCCGTGTAGCCCTGAACCAACTGGTCTGCCACCAGGAAAAGTTCAAGAATGTAGTTATCCTGTGCGACTCAAAAGCAGCTATAGAATCTGTAAGTTCCACAGATATTAAATCAACACAAATCCAAGACTGTCAAAATGCATTACAACATCTAAAAGCCAGTAATAAATTAGTATTTTTACAATGGATTCCAGGACACTGCAACATATATGGCAATGAGCAGGCTGACATTTTGGCTAAAAAAGGTGCTCAGATAACCCAAACAACATTGAAACCAACATCCTACCATACAGCTAAAATATACATCAAGAGAGTTATTCAAGAGACCCACACCCTTGAAATCAAAGCGAAATCACATGGAAAACCCTGGCAAAGGGATATCCTTACGATACCAGACAGGCCAAGAAAAGAAGCAGTTGTGAAGTTCTGCTTAACTGGACACGACTGCCTAGCATACCACCTTCACCGCTATGGCATTTTACCAGACCCGTCATGTAATTTGTGTGCCCTCCAAGATATGAATAGGGATCATCTCCAGCACTACCCAGCTCTGTCCAAAACGACAGAATGTGATAGATACTGGGAAGCGAGGAACCTTATTAGTCAATAATTTATTTAATTTTATCTATTTTTGTTTTGATAGCGTACATGCAAAACACAACCGTTTGCAGTCACTTTCTTTGATTTCTGTTGATGAAGAAAATAGATTCAATACATATATAATAATTCACAACTTAAATATTATGTTGTATGAATGGGGACAGAATACTGAAGTAAAGGAGTTTGTTAAACCTATTTCAGACATGTTAAAGATTTCAGTAAGTGAACTTTACATGCTTAATCATAGGATAGAGAAATAAAACATAAATGCTTCACTATGAGATATGTATTAGCAATAAATGAACATCAGGGCCAGTGATATATCAAAATCAATGTTTGGAAAATGTGTACATCACCTTTTGCGCTCTGTTTCGTCCTTTTAGCCAGTCTGCATGTCAACTGGACCAGTGCACGTCAGCAAAGCTGCCCATTACAACATATCACTGCTGGATTTACTCACGTAATATGATCATATTTTTGGCAGGCAATGTTTATAACAAATGTTTTAAACAAGGTATTATATCGCAGAATCATACATCTAATTTTAGTTGGAGCTCCTCATGACAAACTGCATTAGAATGATTTAAAATAAATGCAATATTTATATTTCTTTCACACTAAATGTATGTAACCTATGCTTATAATAATAATTGAGGTAACAAGTAGCATAAGGACAACTGTTCTACAGATGGATTGAATGTAGTGCTAAGCGTCTTATATATGAATATATATGTATATGAATAACTCGTGTAAGTAAAGTAAAGTTTGTCCCACTATACGCCATGTAGGCGTTTGGGGTGAGTGGAGGTATAGCTCCTTTCTTCCTTGACCTCGGCACTAGATGGGGGTGAGTGGTCAGCATCACGCCCCGGCCGGCTTTACCCCCGGGAAAGGACCCCGGTACCTATTGTAGAGGAGGCTGGGTGGGCCCCAGAGCCGGTCTGGACGCAGAGGCTAGAGGAAAAATCCTCTGCCCCCGTCGGGGATCGAACCCCGGGCGTCCAGCCCGTAGCTAGTCACTATACTGACTGAGCTATCCCTCGTGTAGTCATCTTTTCTCAAGTATATCACGACCCCTTTCAAAGCCAAGGCTCTGTATAACATTCTGAAACAAAAATTAAACTCATCACAGAAACAAATCCAGTCTTCCACCCCACGTGAGGCATACGATCAATTCTTGTGTCTCTCCACAAGTAACAGAAATGAGCAAGTAGTCACCCACACAGCACTACGCGACTGAAGGTCATGAATGTGACAGGGCGCTGCCTGGTGCACCAAACCATCTGCTTCCTTCGATCCAAAAGACGTGAAATTTGCAACACCTTCGAAAGATTTGGATCCTATCTTTGTACTGTGATTTGGTCCTCCGTTCAGGACCCGAAACGTCTGTTTTCTACGTCGTTACTTCCAGATCAGCCTCCTGTAGCAGCGTCTAATGGAGCTGCCTGTTTCTGTTTACGGTATTTGCGTTTCGACCCAGTATTTTAGCAGCTGACATGTCCAATTCAGACTTTACAGATGGAGGATTCTGAAGCAAAGTTTAACACCCATTTTGATAATTACCGTGGCCGAGACTATTCTTAACTGCAAACGCATACGACAATGAGGTTACACGGTTCGCACTGCGGGCCCATTAGTTTATACCTTCCCAAAAGATGGCGCTGCAATTAAATAAATTTAGCTTATAATACTCATCTCCAATCTACGTTTCATAAAACTATATCAACTTATTTTAAATATACCGTCGATGGGCATGACATCATGTACCATTCTTCTCCTTATTCCAGATCGTCCGAACTCCTACACAATCTGCAATTGCCCGAAAGTTTAGGTTTCTTGCCCCTGAACTGGATTTTTTGAAACAAAACGCACGAGTATAATGTTTATCCCCATCATTATTTATTGTTCATGGAAAACACACTTTTAAATATTAGTTCCTTTCCCGACTACCACCAGTCTAAAGTTTGTCTGTCCGCTCTAGAATATGATAAGCTCTTGAGCCTTAGTTCCGTATGTCACATTATCTGCCAGGTCCCTTCAACACACACGCACACGCAAACACACAAAAGTTCGTTTAAAATTTGAAGGGATTATGGTGTCAAAATACTGTGATTCGCTACACGGGTTTGCGGGTTGCTGGAATGATACACTGGAAAAGGATTGTGAAAACACATAAAATGCTGCATGGTACAGCTTTTGTCTACATTTCACTTTGGGACATATTGTAATTCCTATTTTGGTCTTGCGATTAAATTGTTTTTGCTATGTGGTTAAAACTGTCCGACGGCTTTGTGAGTAATTGAATTTCAATTAACTCTGGAGGAAACGATTTCACGAGCCGTTAGTTTTAAGATTAAGGATTATTAAAATAAAGAAAATGAACTTATAACAAAAGTAAAAAAGGAAAACTTGTAAAGTACACATTCTTTAACGAAAGAACTATTGCGCATTTAGAACTAAAATAAATTATATGACTTGTATTTCCAATACTTATGTTTCCTATTGCAATCATTCAATAAGTTATCTATCTATAGCCGCATTAGACACGCAAAGTTACCATGGGCTTCAGAAACTATGATAATAGAAATCTTCTCCACATTGCAATTTACGTACTTTAAACAGTTTCACTTTTCACACGAAATGTTTCGTTAGAAATGGCTTGTCTAGTAACTGGTTATTAAGGATATTTTAGAACTACGAAGGCACGGAACACCACGTTAGACACACCGCTACTAGGCCTACGTGTGAACACAGATT